AACCTGACACTAATGTGACTGTCTCTATTTTATCTTATTGCATCTCTGACATAAAAAAAATGGATGACTCAAAATTTCCTTCATCTAAAGACTGAAGTCATGCTTATTGGCACCCCCCATTAACTTTGTAAAGCCAATGCTGTAACCCTATCTATGGATAGTACTGTACTTGAGCTTCAGGCTAAATTGAACAACTTGGGGGTGATATTTGATTCAGGCTTGACTTTCGCCGCACGTGAAGCATATTGTCAAAACTTCTTTCACCTCAAAAATATCGATACGTCCTGTTATCACAAACTGTGGCTGAAAAGCTGATCAACACATTTGTCTTCTCCAGAATTGGCTACTGTAATGCTTTATTCGCTGGGGTTTCTAAATCCACATTGAATAAACTCCAGTATGTCCAAAATTTGGCAGCCAGAGTCCTGACCAAGTCTAATGCAAGTGATCACATTACTCCTATCCTGGAGTCCTTGCACTGGCTTCCTGTCAAGTTTTGTCGACTTCAGAATCCTCATGCTCACCTATGAGGCTCTGCATGGCTTAGCACCTCAGTACCTGCCTGAGCTATTCTTCCCTACTCCCCACCTAATTCTGGTGTCCTATCTGTCCCCAAGCCCATCTACACTCTATGGGTGACAGAGCCTTCTCCTGTTATGCCCCTGTAGTAACAGACAAATATATTCTGGAACCCTGAACTGAGTTTATTGCATCTTTTTGATCTTATTGAACAATAAGATCAAAGTATTGTTCGAAATATATAGGTACAAAACTTCCAGTTTATATAGCATATTTCAGCTGCTTCTGACGCAAATTGTTACCATGGTAACGGAGGGACATCTGTGTTTGGACATTCCCAAGACCTTGAACACTTTTAATGGTTGGTTTTATCTTTCCTTAGTTAAGGAGTCTGTTCTTTAGCCCTCTGCTCCTACTGTATTTAGTACCACGATCTACTGTCTCCTCTGTCTGTGTATTTTCGTCGTGCATATCTTGTGTATTTTTTATTGGTGTTGTCATTCTGTAAAGCGCTTTGAGAAGCCACCTTTAAAGTCGCTATATAAAAGTTATTATTATTATAAGAAATGGATGTATATCATGAACAGAAAGAACGAACACTCCTGATTTCTCAATAGATACCTGAAGATCTGCCAGAGTGTACGCATTATTCAGAAAAGGTGGAGAGAAACCCTTTATGCAAGGAAAGAGCACCACAATTTCCTAAAAATGAAATCATCTTCAATCAAGATTCAGGCTACGTGGAAAGGATACTGTACAAGGAAAAAGCTTTTGAGGGTAAAACATTTTATTTTTTAACTAAACAAATATTTGCTATTACAGGGTTATGTAGTTAAAAGGGAACCAGAGTCCCAATTTCTCAGACTGGTTATATTGGTTGGCAAGATTGGTAACAAATTGACAGTATTGCAAAATTCTGAATTTAGCACAGAATCTGCAACTTTTTGAAAGTACTGCACGGTTTCCATTTTGTCACAAACTACTGGTCTTGCCACGAGCGAGGGTTAGCGCAAATTGTGATATGAAGCTGCCCTTCCTGCTCACTAGTCACTTTAATAACTAATGTTATGCGATTTACAAGCAAATAAGTACAGGACAGCAGCAGACATTTCACCACAGACATGATCCAATCTGCATGCAGAGTTAACAAGTAAGTAGTATTTGTTGGCACAATTAACCAAGCCTGCTTGTTTACAATGTAATAGGGCTGGTTCACATCACTAGACGTTCTGTTGCCCTGTTCTGAATTGCATAATATGGCACTGCGTATACTTGGAGATCTTGTCTGTTTTGTGATTAACATATACAGTAAAACCTCCAATTTAAATGTGTACATTTTGCTTTCATTGTGGTTTGAAGTGCCCTCATCAATGCTGATTCTGTATATCACTGAAATATCAAAAATGATGTTGCAGTTCCCCTTTAATGTGTACAAAGGTGCAACAGAAAAGGGAGAGGTAGATCCCCCTGATTTTGTTTTCTGTTCAGTTTTATAGACTTGCACAAATAATGGAGCATGCTTTTCTTATGAAAATACTCCCCTTTGCCATCACAGGAGCATTAAATCAAGGCATTCTAACACAGGTTTAGTAGGTTTGCACAGCCATTCGGTTGTAGTCACTTAACATTTTCACTTAAAAAATTCACTTAACCGTCCGCTTAGGCGCAGACAACTGCAACTGATGTGTTTAGGCTTTTTTCCAGTGTTCACATCTCTTGAATTTACCAGTTGTACAGTAGTACTTTTTCTTTAATAGAATTGAAGTGTATGTGATTGTGGCCACCATTGTGCAAAATAAGCCAGCTTCCGAATACTTACACTGGAAGAGCCAGCTGATTTTCTTTTTTTTTTAATTTAGGAAAAGAGAATGAAACGGGCTGCTATCACCCTGCAAGCCTTCTGTCGTGGCTGGCTTGTGAGAAAAAGGGTAAGTGGGAGTCACAGCTGTATGGCGGAGCGTTTTATAAAAATCACATTGTGCCTGTAGCTTTCTGACCTTTTTTGGCCTTTTTGTGAATCTTTCAATATTGTTTGTATTAACTTTTCAAAAACAACCTTGCCGTCAGTAGCAACATTTACCACATTAAATTTCAATTTTAAATTGTTGCACAGATTGCAGAGGAGAAGGAAGTCAAAAGGAGACTACGCTTCTCAGCAGCCGTGTATCATCATCTTTGTGCTATGAAGATACAGCGAAGGCTAAGAGCTTATTTGGCCCTGAAGTCTGCAAAGCAGCAAATGCATTCTGTGATTTCTTTACAGGTACAGTAATGATGGTATGGCATGCTGTGAAATTGTAGTGGTAATATTCTACAAAGCCAATATGGCAGGAGTCGGGAACCTTTTCTGCCTGGTTCCCTTGTTTTCCATGCCAATTAACCTCTTTCCTAAGTCATATCTCAGAACCCAGGTTTTATATTAAGTTGCTTTTATGGACTCAGTTAAAAAAGTCAAAGGCTTCACTGATGTGAAGAGAATTATGTGATTGAATTTGAGAGCTTTTAATTGCATGTTTTTATCATGTCTTTTAAGTGCTCTACGTGTTTTACAGTTCTACGTGTTTTACAGTTTACAAAATTGGTTTTGTAGTTTGCTTTTTCCATAGTCGGATCAGCTGCCTTCTCCATTGGATAAAAAATAAGCGTTTTCCAGCTGTTTCTTACTAGATCCTGGCCCATATTAATATTTTAAATTGGCTAGAAAATAAAAAATATAGGCTTTGTGTCAGGATGTGTTTGAGTAACATTCTACCAAAAAGTAATTCTGTACCTCTTCATAAACAATTGGAGAAAAAAAGAAATCCAATTGACCAAATCTATCGACTAGCGGCATATAAGTAAATTAATAATTTGTTGCAAATTGTTATTATTCACAAACTAGTGAATAAAATAAATTGCTGATATGATCTTAAATATTAAATTGTTGGTCAAATTCCATTTTTTTTCTTGTATTATCATAACTCTTTCTCCTCACACCTTTAATAATGAAAAACAGTGCAGTTTACCTTTAACAGAAATATTAAGCCCATTGTAATGAATGCCTTTCTAAATGCTGTTTCACTTTATATAATTGCCTATTGGCATTTTATAAAGATTAATTATGCTTTTCTGTGTGAAGTTCATTTGGAGTGGTAGCAAGAAAAAATATTCCTGGATTTAGGGGGATTATCAAATACAAACAGGTCAACAAAGCTAAATCTCTTGCGCTCAGAGCAAAGGGGATTAGGAGGAGTTTGGATCCCAGTATATATAATTCTAAGGGGTATGGAATAGGGTCAGCACTCTAGCAAGACATGAAAATGGGGTCAGAATAGTGACGTTAAATTGAGACTAGAAAACTACACAAAGATTTGTGGGTGTATGCAACAATCCTCTCAGCCATGTGGGTTATTCAAGAAATAGCTGAATTAAATCAGGTTTACTAAACTATTAAACCTCCAAAGGTGGTCAGAATTACTCCCTCTTGTTTGCAGCTCAATATATGGAAAAATCTATCTGGATCAGCCGTAATATTTGAATTGCTTTTTTCTGCAGAGGTGGATTAGATCTAAGCTACAGAGGAAAAGATATCTTGAGGAGAGGGAAAAAATGATAAAGGTTCAGCGAGCAGTCAGAGCATGGCTCCATCGGCGAAATGAAGCTGCCACTGTCATTCAACAAGCAGTGAAAAGATTCTTGTTCAAGAGACGACAGCAAAGGGCACAGCGTGGGATTATAAAGTTCCAGGTACATTGTTTAAACCATGGAGTAATTACCTTTTGATTAATCAAATAAAAAAAAATAAAAGACCCCTCACTTTTTTTGCTTTCTCTCAATTTAAGGCCTTGTGGAGAGGGTTCCGTTCACGAAAGAAGAGCGATACTTCTGAAATTGTTGCCATGAGATGTCGATTCGAAAGTGTAAATCAAGGCGTCAGAGAAGAAGATAAGCTTTGGAACAAGACAACGATTGCAATTGACTACCTTTTAAAATACAAGCACTTTTCATATATTCTTGCAGCTTTGAAACACCTAGGTAAGGCTGTTTCCACTATTTTTGAGTCTTGCCTTTTGATTATTTTACTCTTAATGTTCATGTTTGCGCTAGTATTAATATTTCATAGTCCAGAGGTTCCTAGCGCTGCTTCTGGAGGACCTCTGTGTCCACTGGTTTTTGTTCAAACTGAGATATGCATCACTAATGATTTGCGTTAAATTGATCTGCTGTCTTGTTTAGTCTTAGTTTCTGCATTCAGCTTCATTCAGGGTCAAGCGTCAGCATACAGAACTTTATGTAGCCTTTCGTCAATGTGTATTTAACCTTTGCTCCCTTCTGCCTTGACACTTTCTTCATGGGTGACTACTTTATGATGAACAAAAACATGTGAGAATGACAATGTATCAAACCCCCCAATGAATATTTTTGTTTTTCTCCTGGCTTGTTTGTTTGACTTGCCTACCTTTTTACTTTTCATGTAACAGGCCTGTGAAGTTCTTAAACTCTACCATTAGAACAGGACTGATACTGGACCCATTCCTTGTTTTAAGAACTAAAAGCCAATTTAAAAGCATTGATCAAACAGACAACTTAGCCAGAACTCGGAGCAAATGCGACAAAATGCCACAAGGAGGTCACCTGTGCTGTAACTTAGGGATGGGTGGATCAGGTCTTGGCAGATAATCCTTTGGTTTTCTTTCCAGTAATTAATTTAATTACATTACTGAGTTACCTATTTAACACATTGCTATTGATGATAATCCTTATGTTGAGTTCATTTTGGGACTTGAGGAAAATATCATGTTTAATATGAAAATGATCTATTTCTTATTTTTCAGAAACTGCAACAAGGCTTTCATCAAAGTGTTGTGAACATCTTGTGAACAGTGGAGCAACATTAACTATTTTCACTCTGATCAGGAGCTGCAATCGAAGTGTCCCTTGTATGGAAGTAATCACTTATGCTGTCCAAGTTCTCCTGAATTTGTCAAAGGTATGCTTTGTGGGTCTTTCATAAATGTTTTGGATTTATTTGAAGAGGTCGATGCGGTGCTCTTTAATACTGCTGTACCGTAAAAGAAGCTTTCACAAAAGCCATGGTTCTTTCTGTAGTAACACTTGAAATGAATTTTCTCTTACTGAGTCTTGGGTGTTTAATAGTTGAAGTAATTAAAATAACTGATTATCCAGGATATTCCAGAGTGCTTCTTTTAAGTTGATTTGAGTTTATTTCTGAAGACTTTGCTGTCACCTTTTTTTTTTTTGCAATATGTAGCATTCATTTTATGTTTGTCTCTTTTTGTCGTCTTTAGTATGATAAAACAACGGATGCAGTGTATGATGTGGACCATTCCATTGACACATTGTTAGACCTCCTGCAGATCTACAGAGACAAAGCAGGAGACAAAGTGGCAGATAAAGGAGGAAGCATTTTCGCCAAAACCTGTTTCCTTTTAGTCATCCTGCTGCAAAACACACAGCGGGCTGTGGTAAATATTTGTGTTCTGTGGTTAAAAATAAAGCTTACCGTGTTTGGTTTCATGAAACATTGAAGTTTTAAGGATGGCAATTTATGGTCAATATTTATACCAACTTTCAAAATCACATCTGTCTTTTTTACAAGAAATCTGGTAAATTCGCGTCCAAGTTTACATGTGTAGTTGTGCCATGTGCAAATTAAAAGGCTTAATGTCCAATGTAATCTGATTTTTCCTACTGGAAAATTTGCATGATATTTTATAACAAGCAGTAATCGCAACACCACAAGTACCTGATAACTGGATTGATAACTTAGTTTTTAGTTCAGGGTGACTTGGAATATCATGCATGTGTTTTTCTCTCAATGCAGGAGGTCCGTAATCTTCCTAAAGCAGTGGACCGTATTTGCAGCATTTATCGGCTTACTGCTCGGAAGCACAAGATGGATGCTGCAAGGACCCTTACTAGACAGAAGATGAATGTTTCACTCAATGGAAGCTTCTTTTCCCAAGTAACTCCCCATAAGACAAAGGCAATTCCTAGGTAGGTTGCAATAATGATATAGAGCCATAGGGTTTTGGCTTTGATATCGTATGGTGATGGTGGACTACTTGTGGTCTGTGCTTGAAGATGTGAATGTAAAATGGGACACCAATTGAGCTTACAATTGTATTAAACATTACGGAGTATGATGACCAAGAGCATCTGACTTCAAATTCAAGTCTCGCATTTATCTGCATTACAAAAGACAAGTAGAAATTGGGTTAAATGTTACTCTGAGAAACCTGAATATTCTTGTGGTTTCTGCTATAATATGGATTCTGATACGATATAACACAATACTCAAGCATGGGTATTGGAAGTAGTTAAGGTGTCTCAAAAAGGGACAGTGGTCAAATATCTAGTGACAACTTGCATTTCTTAGCATGTTTAAAGCAAGAAAGGAGGTGTTTGCTGAGTTGTAAGGTGGCCTGAGATGCAAAGTGGTCCTCTGGTTTACCTTGGTTAATTAAGTTTGTGGTAATCGTTAAGAGTCATCAACAATATAAACAATATAAAAAGACAGAAGGATAGAGAGGGGAAAAAGAGGACTGGAGAGAGTAAAGGGAGCAACTGGAGGCAAAAGGTCCTTTGCTGCTTCTGTTCTCTGGGATATGGTGGCAGAGAACCACCATATTCTGATTCCTTGAATCAGAATCTGTGCTGTGCTGATGCTACTAGTACAAATGCATCCAGCCATCCTCTCAGTCAGCCTAGGTCCTGCCCCTTGTAACTTCCAGAAGACTGCTGAATGCATTGGAAAGGATTGGAGATGGGCTCTGAGGCAGCTTTGCCCAATTGCCATAGCTGCCCTTGGTTTTTTGCAGCCTGATGTTAAGTGCTCTCAGGCTTCTGTATAAACGTATTACTTGTGAAATTAACACCCATGTAAATTAAAATGTAATAATTTTACCATTTTTTCAAACATTATTTTTCTTTGTTAGATATTCTGCACAACATAGTTTGTGATAACCTAAACTGGCCTTCTAGTAAAAAAAAAAAACATTTCAAGTGTGAGCTTATTCTGATTTCCCAGTGAGTGAATACTTCAGCAGGCATAGCAAAAGTCATCCAGACCAGACTGTAGGCTTTATTGCCTCTTTAGGTTAATTATAATACAGCAGATGTCATAAATGCTATTTTTAACACTGTAATTAAATTGAGTGATCCTTGATTGAAGCAACACATTTGCATAATTGCATGATGAGCTGTAGGGTGGTAGTAATCATCTAAATAAAATTTATAACATTCGTTTTTAAGGCAAGGGACCTTCAGATATACATTTTCACTGTTCAACCCTACAAATCTTTCTTTTTCAGAATTGCTCCTGACTGGGTCTTAAGAAAAGACAACATGAAAGAAGTAGTGGATCCTCTTCAAGCAATTCAGATGGTTGCAGATGCTCTTGCTATAGTGCCTTAGAAAACTGAATAAGCGATTTAAAGAAAAAGCAAAACTATGTAAATGAAATTTCAGACCTTCCTTTCAGACCAGACCTTTTTAACAAAGATGAAACTATTTTGTGCAATGTTTCATTAAAGAGGTTAGTTTAGATCAAACATCCTGTGTTAGAGCTTTACAAAGATGTAAGTAGAAGTTTTTTATCCAGTTTCTCCTACAGTATGTGCCTTTTAGTTTTATGTGGACTTTATGCTTTCATAAACTTAAAACCTGTATTTAATTATTTTAAAAAACACATTGTACATAATTCAAACATTGTACATTGTTGTTTTTCATTTCTAAAATACAGACATCGAATTTTGGAAACCCTTTCCTGAGTGTGTTGTTATTTTTATTCTTCAATGTCAATATTGTTTTCAAAGAGTGCTTCAGTCTTATGAGATATCCACTGATCATTCAGGCAAATGACAAGTTTGTAACTACAGCTCTATGTAAATGTTTGCTTTACAAGATTTGTTCTCTTGAGCATTCTTCAACTTGGACCTTAGCTACAGGGGCTGCAGCCAGGAGATTGACACGAACAACGCATCCCTGCCTGACGAGCTGAACCACTTCTATGCCCGCTTTGATGCTCTGAACACGGGCACTGCTGAGAAGACCCCAAGTGTGCAGGGCGAGTTTGTTCTGAAACTCTCAGAGCAGGACGTGCAGAAGACTCTGAGCAGGGTGAAAACCTGTAAGGCTGCAGGGCCTGATGGGATACCACCTCGCGTCCTGAGGACATGTGCAGCCCAGCTCACCACAGTGTTTACAGACATCTTTAACTCCTCCCTGTCACAGTCCATGGTCCCCACCTGCTTTAAAAAAACCACTATTGTTCCAACCCCCAAAAAGACAAAAGTGACATGCCTGAATGATTACCGCCCAGTAGCATTAACATCTGTGGTGATGAAATGCCTGGAGAAGCTGGTGTTGTCACACATCAACTCCTCCATCACAGAGTCCCTGGACCCCCTGCAGTTCGCCTACCAGAACAACAGATCAGTGGATGATGCTGTCTCCCTGGCTCTGCATACAGCCTTGGAACACCTGGACACTAAGAACTCGTATGTGAGAATGCTGTTTGTGGACTACAGCTCAGCATTCAACTCCATCATACCCTGTCAACTGGTGACAAAGCTCAGGGGATTAGGTCTGTGCAACTCTGTCTGCAACTGGCTGCTGGACTTTCTTATCGAGAGACCACAGGTGGTGCGGATAGGCAATAAAACATCAACACCACTCACCCTGAGCACTGGAACCCCACAAGGCTGCTGTCTGAGTCCAAGGTTGTACTCCCTCTTTACTCACGACTGCACAGCAAGACACAGCAATAACCGCATCATCAAGTTTGCCGATGACACCACTATAATAGGACTGATCAGTGATGATGACAAGTCCACTTACAGGGATGAAGTTGTACAGCTGCTTAGGTGGTGTCATAGCAATAACCTGGACTTGAACATAAAGAAAACGAAAGAGCTAATAGTGGACTTTCGGAGACACAGGCCACACACTCACAGCCCACTCAGTATTGATGGAACGGAAGTGGAAACAGTCACCAGCTTTAGGTTTTTGGGAATTCACATCTCTAAAGATCTAACCTGGACTGTGAACACTGACTCTATCATGAAGAAGGCTCAGCAGCGCCTTTATTTCTTGAGGTGCCTCAAGCAATGGGGGATGCCAATACATGTGTTGGTGAACTTCTACCGCTGCACCATCGAGAGCGTCCTCACCAACGGGATCACCGTGTGGTATGGCAACACCTCTTCGCGAGAAAGAAAGGCACTGCAGAGAATGGTCAATATGGCCCAGAAGATCATCGGCTGCGGTCTCACCGAGATTAAACAGCTCTATGAGGACCGCTGCCGTGGTAGAATTCTGGCCATCACAGAGGACAGTCACCACCCTGGGCATGAGCTCTTCACCCCACTGCCCTCAGGCAAGAGATATAAGAGCATTACTTGCACATTGTCTATTGTTTGTTTGTACATTGTCTTGATGCACTGTTTGCACTTTGTTTTGTTTTTTTTACACTTGTTTTACAATCGAGAGACTTTCTATAAGTAAGAATTCAATTGTACCAGTACCGGTTACATATGGCAATAAAGTTCAAGTTCAAGTGAGAATATAATTTCTGGTGAGCCAGTTGAGATGTTAATATTGGCTTTGTTAGTATCACACAATGAACACTAAACATATAATATGGTGCATAAATGAAAGTCAATTAGTCAAAAAAAGCGAATTTCTTTTTGCACTGCAATCATTTCTTGAATGAATTGGTCTTTAGGAATGACAGTCTTTGGGGAAAAATAATATTTTTAAGGAATGCAGATGGTTTATAGTGGGTAAAGAAACTAAACTTTCAGGTTCTTTAAGAATACAATGCTTTTAGATGGATTACTTTATTGGCAGAGACTAAGATTCAGGTATGAATAAATGTTTCGGGCCAAAATATTGCACTTTTAAGTATTTGAATTAGTTGATGGTTCTTTTCAGTTGACCTGAATTTAGAGGCAGTATTATTGATAACAAACGTTAAGAAGAGATGACAACAACCAAGTTTGATCGGCCTCGGCAGTTGGTAATGAGCGATCATTCCTGCCATCTATTCCTCTTCTAAAACACTAAATACAGTCTGTGATCCCCTTTTGCATACATCATTTTGCATCCCACCTCCACCGTATCTCCACCTTTTGCAGGTTTCCCCTTGGTCACTCCTCGTTCTATAGCTAAGAGGTTAACCCTGAGCTCAGCGAGTTGAGTCAAATTTTCCTTTAAATGTGCTTAATTCTTGGGTGTTATTCCCAGTGTACTGAAATTAGGTGACAATACAGTACATGTTGGCGACTGAAGTCGCATCCAGGAAAACCTTTTTCATTTGCCTTGCACATGTAAACATTGTTTCCAAATGTATTCATTAAAAGTTCAATTACCCGTTTCAACAAATACCATGACATGAGGTAAGAACTCACTTTTGTTTTAAAAACACTTTAGTAGAATATCTACTGTTTGAGCTAAAGGTATTTTCCAAAATCACTCGCAACCTTTAAACACAAAAAGGTGGATCAACTTGACTATCACTGCATCTTGTTCTAATTGGAGTTTTTATTGGTCTTTTTTTCCATCAATGCATGCAAACTTAGCAGGTTCATTATGTTTAATCAATACCATTCCTCTTTCTCCATATTTTAGTTTGATATTTGTGCTCTTCATGTCATCCAGTGTCACAAGCACAGTTCTGAAAAGAAATAAAACATTCCTTGTGCTGTAGAAACAATTCAATAACGTTGGTATACAGTAGTTGTATATTTATTTCTGTTAACAGCACTGAAGAAATCGGTCTTCAGTGCCTTTGCCAGTTTGCCAGTTTCCTTGGCAAACTGAGGACACCATATCCAGCTCAAGCCGGGTCACACCTCAGTGCTATGCTGATTTGTACACATCCCAAACTACAGTATCTGGACGGCAGGAGTCAATATGTCCCATATGAGTGCCTTTCCTGATCAAACATGCTAAAAGTGTTCCTAGATTTCATTCTTTTCAATCTAGGCAATGTTTCCAGTGCCCTTCAATAACGGGGAAAGTGTAACAATCAGAATTGTGTTGTTACTAGGCTGTGGTAGTTTGTTAGTTGCAAATTAAAATTTTTCTGTGTACTTGTGTAGTGTGGTGCCTTAATCTGAAATGAATTTTCCCCTGCTGAAAATAGTTTACTCCATGGCAGCATATACTGGACAAAGTGCCATGTGGAGTATAGATTAGAAAAATATGGTTAATTTTACGGTAAAATCGGTTTTTATCAATGTTTGATTAATGTTTTAAAACATGACAATTATCAAAACCCTTTTAGTAATATAATCCACCTACAGATTTGCCAGTGGGATAAAAGCTAATTTTATGGCTCCTCTATACTCCGTTTAAAAATCCTGGTTGAATCTCTAGATGTTATGTTTCTTTCTTTAATTTTATTTTCCTTTTCTGCTTTTTCTACCAGCGATGCTTTGTACTGACACGTGGATTGACATACAGTAGTATAACAACTTATATTTATCAAGGAGTTAGTAAATTCCTTATTTTAATTTATTTCTAATTTTAATGTTAAATGTAAAATGGAGATTGATAATAAATCTTGAAATATAGTAAATAGTATAGTACAAACACTTATTTCAAAGATTTTTCCTAGGTCTCACACCTGTCATTACTAATTTCTTTGTTAAGCATGACTGATTTGATCTTAAAAGCTAGAAGGAAAATCTAAATCTTATGTATCATTAATGTTGTTTACTATTTATGCCATATTATTCTAATAAATATTTAGGAACGTGACTTCCTTACTCATGTCGTTCATATTTTTGTTTCATATGATAGAACTGGAATGTTAGTTAAATTTTCTGTCAATGTTGTAATATAAAATTGTTACAATGGAGAATAATACAGGACAAATAAATACACACCAAAGCATTTTGGGGGTGTAGACCATTCTCATCTCCTACATATTATAGTATCTGAACCTCCCATTTTAAAAATAAGTTCACCATATTCATAACTGGACTTTGTCCAGCCTTCAGTATCAGCGCTTTTGACAGCTGGTGGGGGTCCACATAATTTTGGTGCTAATCATAAGAAAAAAAGCTAGAAACTGGAATATCAGTCAATTTAACTTAAAAGTATTTGAAAAAATACATTTTTAGAAATGTTTACCGTTTGTTAATAAATAAATATTTAATGTTAATGAACAAAGAAGGGGATGTAACAGGATATCAGTTCTTGATAGTAAGCTGCGCAACTAAAATATTTTAGATTACATGTTATTAACAGGATAGGATTTCCAGAATTTCTCCTCATTAAAAATAAGATTGTGCTAACACTAGGCTGTTGTGAAAATGTAAAATTAAAGGATTTGGCGGCAAATTTAGCAAAAACAATAAAACCTAATTATTTTGTATATTGGAGAAATGTAAGCTTAAGATATGTTTATCTATCATTCACCGGAGAGCCAGGTTAGAAGCATTACAGTTCTGTAGCTAAGTAACTGAGTTCATATGTGGAGCTAAAAAACAGAAAGACATTAGGCCATCCATGAACTCAGACCCCTGATTTAGATAATATTATCTAAGTGCTGTAAATTGTTACTTGTATTACCACATCATTAGTAATTCATGCTGTAATTGTATCAGTTTAATATCAAAACTAATCTGTATTATGATAAGTGCAAATTCATGTTGTAAAATTCAACATTTTTCTTTTAATAATAGAAAGATGTAATGTGAAAACATGGGAGCTTGGTACTCATACGTACTAACTTTGCTTTCAGGTGCTCAACATAATTATTTGCTCATTTTACAGTGAACCAATTAATGATGTAGATATTACTAATTATTGGTTGAGCAGATTGTTTTAAATTAGGGTATTTAGAGTTTGGCTGGAATGTCACTATATAAATGTAAATGATTAAATTTCGACCGTATACCTGTGTAGATGTCTGTATTGTCATCATATAATCCCTATGTCATGAAGGTACAATATTGCTGCATCCTGTAATAGTAATTCTGCATTTTTAAAAAAATATTGTATTGTAATGCTACGGGGTTCACGTGGGCGCCCTTGCCTGCTGCAGCTTCAGGTCGGCCCCCCACCGTCGGGAACTCGAACCCGGGCCTCTGGCGTCACTCAACAGGGACCCAGCCAGTTGAGCTAAAGAGAGATCTCCCCTCAGGCCAGTGCTATTACAGGGAACGACAGTGATGTCACCGCTCTGGTAAGCCGGCTCTTACACACTCACTGGTGGCCGTATGCGTTACAGTATTTTATGTAGAAATATTCCTTGTAACCTGTTACTAATATTGAAGATTAACAGTTTTGCAAAGTTTCTGGAGAGTTATTTAGCCAATGGAATATTTATAGCACAATGGTGTAGTGTGTAGTGTGTAGTCTACATCCACTGCTGACATTGCAGATAATTTTGTCCTTTAAAATTATAAATCTTCTGACATACTGTATGTATTCAACTTTCTCCTCATTTTCATAGGATGTCTTTTGTAATGAAATCATTTGTCAATTGCTTACTTCTGGTGGCCTCGAACAGATCTGTGATAGCATTGAAGAGTTAAAAGAAATGTTTAATTAAGTTAACACTTTAACCAGTTCTTAGGTATTGTATTTTCAAAAGGAATTTTAATGTGTTATGCAAAAGTAAAAAGAGGTGTTAAGAAAATGTTCAGCCTAAAACAGCAATAATCTATTTGTTGCAATTGTATCTACTTAGTAGTTGTTTCTGAAATATTCCAATTTAAATATTACTGTCTGTAATAAGCTATATACTGTATATGTATAGTTTTTTTTATATTACAGAACATACATTACATTTATATTAATATGCTTTCTTTTATACTACATGCAAGTGACTGTATTAAATACTGAAAGAGTTTACAAAAAAAGGACCTGAAAGAAATAATGAATGAAGAACAATATGCAATTCAAGTAAAATATAATAGTTGGATCTTGTGAAATTATGAAGGGCAACTGTATAAGTGAGTCCAAATTAAATTTACTCTTCTCATTTTTATATACAATTTTTATTGGCTGTTATAACTCAAGCTTGTGTTTTAACTAAAGAAGCAGTGGCAATCAAAATATTCGTTATATTGAAGAATTCTAAATCTAATTAGAAAAAGTGTATACTTTGGAAGGGAATTAGTTATCAACATGACAGCTGACTTTCCTCACTTCTGTATGGATTGAATTGTGAACAGGTTTTTCCAATCCATCCACACATCAGATATCCATTTGGTTTTATGGAGTGTAAAAGCCAAACAAGAAGCAAAATATTTGCTCATTGTTTCCAGGGTAGGAGTACTCAACATGATTATCACATATCCATAATGTTACACCAGAGCTTTAAAAGGATTACCTTAGCTGCTTTTACGAGTGTGGATCTAGATACTGAGGTAAAACTGGTAGAACAAATATAGGTTAGATTGGAGATAATTAATGGGTGCTAAAAAGCTGAAGCTAACTAAGGGATAGAACTGAAAAGTGATCCAAGCCAACATACATTCATTGAAATGAGGAGAAATGAAATCCACATCAAAAATTGACATTTCTAAGCAGAGGTCTTAGGCTTGACATGTTTCATTTGCTAAAGTGATCACATTACTCCTATCCTGGAGTCCTTGCAGTGACTTCCTATTAGATTTTATCAGACTTCCTATCAGACCTTCAAAATCCTCATACTCACCTTTGGCTAAGGATCCTGCAGCCGGCAGAGGAATCCTACTCTGTTGGGCCCCTGAGCAAGGCCTTTAACCCCAACTGCTCCAGGGGTGCCGTATAAATGGCTGACCCTAGACCCTGACCCCAAGCTTCTCTCCCTGTCTGTGTGTCTGATGGAGCAAGTTGGGGTATGCGAAAAGAGAAATTCCTAATACAAGAAATTGTATATGGCTGATAAGTTATCCTATTTCATTTAAATGCTCCACAAGGCTTGGTATGCTCTAAACTCTTTCAAATCTAAACTCAAAACCTTCTTTAGAAGGGCCTTTACTTAACTGGTTCTATTATATACCCTTTGCGAGGGTGATAGAGACCATGAGTGTGAATCGATACAGAAAATCTAATCCCACACACAATTAACAATAAGAAAGATATAAAAAAAATAAAATACATTAATTCCTTGTCCTTCTCTGAGGAACAAATGGTAGAAAAGTACAACTCAGTAAAGCAGATGGAGATAAGATGTACTGTGAGCTGTATTAGTATGAATGTTCAGTCCTAAAGGCTTTGGAGTGGTGATTCTCCATTGATTGATGATAAATTTCTGAAATGAAAGGGAACAAATTCTTAATTCCAGTGATGCTCTGGAGGACACCTTGTTTATGTACCAAGAGATATACTCAGCATGTGTTTGTAAGGTGGGAGGAAACCAGTGCACTCCATTTAAAATGGTTAAAAAATATAAGCTCCCTGTAGATGGAGCCACAGACTGGATTCAAACCCAGGACCCATGAGAGATGATGGCACATTGCTAACCACTGGGCCAACTGTGCTGCACTGCTGTTGATATCAGCAGTTAAACAATGTCAAACACCTTGGCACAATACTAGCATGAAACTCTGAAGTTGTTCATTGACTCAGAGTTCAATCACATTTAGAGCAAATATCAATGATTTTTGGGAACATTTTTGTCTACTTTTTGTTTATATTGAGAGGCACTGAAAGGGTGACAAATGAGTACTGGAACCAACAGCATTTGTTGTATTTTTAATACCTCTCTGTATAATTTAAATTAACAAAAATTGCTATGATTTAATGTTGATCAATGCAAGCAGTCCTCAGCACTCACTGCTGACTAGTTCTATATTCCAGGGCTCATCTTGGGATGGCTCAGCCACATCTAACTCACTTGCAGTGCATTGGTTACCCTCTTTTTCTTTTCTTTTCCTCTTCACTCCTGAGCCACCTCCAAGCACCCCAGTGGAACCCATGGAACCATTCTTGTTCCTGTAGTCTAGTTTTCTCATTCTCTCTATGGGAGCTCTGCCCATGCTTGTGCTGTCCAGAGCCTTCTAGTAGCTGACATGGGAACAGAGATGGATCGCTGTCAGTCCAGTCCAAATGGACAGTCCTCCTACTGGACAGTCAAGACTGGCGTTTTCCTGCCTGGCCATGGAGATCGGACTCCTCTGCACAGTGAAACCTATGCTTATTTAACATAAAGACAGTGCCCCCCCCCATGCTTTTTTCTACTACTTCGACAATTTCAATCAATTTAGAGTGTGCTATAATATTATTGAAAATTGTTTACAAAAGACACCTTCATTTCTCAAATAAAAGCTTGACAACTTATGATCCGATGAGGGTTTGTAATTGATTATTTGAAGAAATTACTGTATGTGATGTATGAACTTTGGAACTCCCTCCAGCTGTTTCTAGTAATCTTTTAATATTGTTTTTTAGCTTTTGGAAATAATACCTGCTATACTCGGTTCAATGTATTGTTCATGGGAAATCTTTAAGACGACTACTTATATTTCTATTTAATTAAAAACATTATTGTAGGTTTTATTTATGTGTTTAGTATTTCATCTTGAGAGAGTGAGAGCTCTTGTTTGTGATCAACAGGGCTGTTTTACTTGGGAGACTTGAGAAAATATACAACTTATACTCTATTAGGGGCGTCACAGGTGCTGGAAAGGTGGGCTATGTGATAGTTCATCTGCCGGGTTCAAAGGGAATAAAGTGTGCTGCCGAGGAACATAGCGAGGTAATTTGCTCTGAGTTAATAGAAGAATTAGCATCTGTGCATTAAGGCATCACTTGTCATTGTAGCAGAATATCTTCTCTTAACAGTATAGATGCCGCTGGTTGAGCCCCAAGGTACTTCTGTGTCTTAACACCAGCAGACAGAAAGATAGATGGGAGATCTCCGAGAGTGAGAGAGAGAGAAAACAGCAAACCACCTGATTCTGTGTCTGGGATGCAGGAGTTGTTTATTGGGAAGCATCCTAGGCCAAACAGGAACAGAAATTTGTGAAGGCCTGGTTTTTGATGAAGAATGGGGGAATTGCTGAGCATCAGTATGTACTGTATATGCATGTTTCAGTGCCTGGTGATTTATGTAGACAGAATAAGCTGGGCAACACAGAGTTAGTTTACTGAATGGCTTCTGAATCTGTTCTTGGGAAGCTTGATGTTTCATATCACTCTGCCATAAGTTTATCACTGGTATCTCCTAAACATACACTGTATATTTCAGTTTAGACAGCGATATTGAAGAATGCAACACTTTTTGAGATTAGATAGTTTATTGGCAAGGACTAAGATTTCTGAAGTATAACGTTTCAGTATGATAATTCTCAAAACAATAACAGTTCCAAAAAAAATGCTGGTGCTTACATAACATGTCAGTTGATCAAGATATGAAGGAAATATTCACAATGTTGGGTGACAATACATGTTTGATATTGCAAGAAGTTTATTGCAGGAACATACTGTGCTTTGTCATTTACTGTACTTTGAACAGTTTAATGGTAGTTTCCAATCTTGTTCAATGAATTACGGTTCATGTATTTATTGCAACAAATACTGTGATATGCATTAATAAACACGAATTTTATTTAAAGACAAATTAAGCAGTCTACTTTTTAATTAGTTATGTTGAAGGTACTCTGCAACAATGCTCAGAGCCTTTATCCACAAACAGGTAGATTAACTTTACCATCATTGCATTTTAATCTAAGTGGATTATTTCCTTTTAGAGATTTGCCATCAATACACGCAAACTCACAATATTCGTTGTGTTTGATAAATACCAGTTCTGATTCTCTAAATCTGAGCCTCAGATTATTTCTCTTCATGTCATCCAGTGTCACAGTACATGGTTCTAAAAAGAAATGAAACAATCAGTACATGCAGAAAGAAACATGAATACATACTGTACAATTCAATAACATTGCTGATATACAGTAGCTGCACATGTCTTTCAGCTAACTCTTTACAATGAAGAAGTCACAGTGGTCACTGTTCCATGGCAAACTGGGGATACAGTGTCCAGCTCAAGGTTATTCATCAGTACTGTGCTGATTTGTACACATCCCAGACTTGAACTCACAATGTCTGGATATGGGGCTTGACTTGTCTTCCAAACAAGTGCCTTCCCTGATCAAATGTGCTAAAAACGTGCACAATGTCTTCATTTTAATCATTTTCAATCTACGTAAATTTTCCTTCCCTGTCAGTGATGATGGGAAAAACATTTTCTAACAATAGAAATTATATACTTGCTTGGTTACTAGGTTATGTTAGTTTACTTCTTGTAATCAGGAATGACAGTTAATTTCATTTGTGCATGTACAGTACATAGCGCATGAATATCACACCATTTTTGCTATTTTTGCTATGTAATAAATAGGTTATCTATAGCAGCATGAAGTAATTGTCCACCACTCCATGACTGAGCTGTTTTTCTGCAAGCAATTCTTCTTAATGACATGTATGAATTTACATTGTTGTAAAAGACAAGCTATGCCTCCTTGCATTTAAAAAAGGATTTGGCAAAATGGAGAATGATTACAAATCTACAGTAGAGGGTTGAGCTATCATATGAGCCACCTCAGAAAACAAGACCGATTTGATCATTTTTATTGATTGATTTGAATTTAAATTGAAACCTGGAACTGAAATTTAATGTTATTTTCTCTCACTGTTGTTTAAAACATATTTAACACTAGTGAATAAGGAAAATAATGAGGTCAATATTAAGGTTAAAATAATTACATACCTAAACATTTAGGTAGAGTAGTCCATTCTCCTCTTGTACATGTAATTGTATTTGATCCTTCCACTTCGTAAAACTTTTGACATCTGTATGTAACACGATCACCAGAATCATAGCTAGACTTTGTCCAGCCTTCAATATCTGCATTTGTGACAACTGGAGGCTGTCCACAAAATGTTGGTGCTAAACATAAAATATAGATTGAAACTGTAATGTCAGGAAATAGACTGAAACAGGAAAATATGTTATTTCCTCCCCTAACAAACACCAAATTTTATGGAGATTACCATTTGTTCTTTGAATAATGGAATGTTTTCGTTTTCAGTTTCGGTTCAGGATTTGCAGTTTTTTGTTGCAGTATAATTTTTTAATACTAAAATGAACTTACTTATACCCAGCTAAAATAAAATATTTTTATAACTCACATGTTATTAGCATGTCAGAATTTCCAAATAATTCAACTAATTTACAAATTCTCAGCTAAAAATATGAGCCATTGCAACACCATTGTGTTAATGTGTCATTGTGGAAACCATAATTGAGGCTTTACAAGCTACGTTTTCAGTGTTCCACATCAATTCTGTGATCTTCTGCATGTCACTTCCATATCTTTCGACTGCTATTTCAATTTTCTTCCAGAAAACAATGTGAAAGATGTGCTTTTTTTCACAAAGAGCATGAGTGCCAGTTAAGGTGAAAGACAAGAGAAGCCATTATGAGGTGAAGTGTAGCAGTGTTTTATATGTTTGTAAATGTCTTTCTGTTGCACCAGAGTGGACATGTCTCCTTGTTTTATACAGTAATTGGAACTTTGTTGCTGTGAAAATGCAAAATATTAGTTTTTGTGTGACACAAAATTAATTAAACATTTCTAGAATCACTTTTAAAGACTACAAAAGAGTGCTGTAAAATATCACAAAGGATTTCCTCCAGAATTGTATAACAACAATGATGTGCTTTCTGGATATTTTCCTGTCTTGGATACCGAGGTGTCTTATTAGGCTTCCTAATAATCCCCTATTCATAATAATCTATGAATTGGCTTCATCACTGATAGCTGGCGAGTGTACTGGCACACTGTGGCTGCCGTTGCATTATCCAGGTGGGTGCTGCACATTGGTGGTGGTGGAAGGGAGTCCTCATTACTTATAAAGCACTTTGAGTGCAGTGTCCAGAAATGCACTATACAAGTGTAATTAATTATTATTAACCATTGCGCCATTGTGCCACCCTATTGTGTACAGCATTACAAGATTATTCTATTGTCACTATAATGGTACAATGCTATTGCAATGTTACCACACTTTTGACATTTTCCAACATTGATTAACAATATTAACAATATTGCCTGAAGCTTAAAATTTGCATTGCCACAATATCATATCATTCTGTTTTCACAATGAAACATCAAAGTTACTCACAGCACACTGGTGTTGTTGTCCACCTCCCACGCCTACATTGCACATAACTTTGTCCCTGAAAATGAAACTTGTTTTCGCATTCATATTCCACCTTTTCCCCTTCTCTGTAGGATTTCTTTCTTGGGGAAAGCAATTTTCCTTTATGTACATCTGGTGGGCTGCCACAGGACAAAACTAAGGAGTTGAAGGCAAATAGTGATTGGTCAATAGTAAAAACAACAATTTCTATTTACTGTATTTTCAAATGTTACATGAAAAAGGTACTTAAACTGTTATTTGTAAAACAGCACCCTCATTCATTTCAATTATAGCTACAATACATCTTTTATTAAAATGTCAATTCAAATGTTAATATCTGCAGTATTCCTGGTTTTTAATAGTTATGATGGAAATGGCTGTTCTTCAATGTTTGTATAAACATAACATAACATAAACAATCAGGTAATGAGTCAAAACAGAAATTAAAACTTGCACATTATAAATGTACATTGTTTTGCATTTGTCTCCCATCTAAGATTTAAAAAGAACATAAAACAGAACAAATAGGTGCTGCATTAAAATATCAATCTTTAAACCATGAAAGGTCTGTGGTTTACCTTCCACCTATAATTCCCACAGTAATTTATTCACCTGGCAAATGTCCATACTTAAGGTCAGAGTCTCATCAGGCTGGATCTTATCCTGGCTTCTGTATTGTTAAGCATACTTAGGTGATATAACTCCTTCTCCCCTTGGATGGGATACTAGTCCATTAAACCGCAGTCTCCAACAGTTCTAGTAACCATTTGCATAGCTGATTGGGCTGCACAGGCTGGGGATAAGGTACCTTCCTCAGTCGGGTCTGCAGTGGGATTTCAACTCTTAACTTTCCAACTAAGAGTCTGGAGCCCTAGCCACTACTCTGTATTGTCTCTCACTACCCGATCAAGTGGATTGAGGTAAAACAGAGAAACTAAAACAAAACAGCCAAGGCTTCTTGAGTTTTTTGTTTGAAATCAGGAATAAAAGGTGACGTAAAAGCCACAAACCTTACCTTTACATGTAGGAAATGGGCTACTCCAATTCCCATTTGTGGTACAAAAAATTTGAGATTCTCCATTCAAGTGTGTATCAGGAGAAGCACATTCAAAAAGCAATGCACTTCCATATGGAATGGGCTCATTATTTTCCGGCACTCCCTTAACAATTATGTCATCCGTTGTTTCTTCCAAAATGCACTTGACCACTAATAGAAATTACATTTAAGATAATAAATTTACACAGCTCAGGAAATTATTATTTTATTTGATTTTTAAGTGTCATGTTTACTTACTAAATTGTAAACTGGGAAATATTAAGGTATGTTCAAATAACAATCAGACAAAGAAGATATATAGTATATATAATGAAAACAATAAAGACAACTCCATTCAAGTGTGTATCAGGAGAAGCACATTCAAAAAGCAATGCACTTCCATATGGAATGGGCTCATTATTTTCCGGCACTCCCTTAACAATTATGTCATCCGTTGTTTCTTCCAAAATGCACTTGACCACTAATAGAAATTACATTTAAGATAATAAATTTACACAGCTCAGGAAATTATTATTTGATTTGATTTTTAAATGTCATGTTTACTTACTAAATTGTAAACTGGGAAATATTAAGGTATGTTCAAATAACAATCAGACAAAGAAGATATACAGTATATATAATGAAAACAATAAAGACAACTCTTTTTCACGCAAGTTTGTCTAGATCAAGTATTAAGTATTTCATACAACATGGGTTGTGAAAGTTTAGAACAAGCTATCCAAGTTGTTGAAATAGACATATAAGCTTTTATCCAGAAATGACTCAATCCAAGGAACAAGAAAAAAAACAAACCAGATTATTCACATTCATAATCTTTCTTATCTTCTGTATATTAAAATAACAATAATGAAAAACATTCACATGGTGAAAACATTTATTGATTGGAATAAAAGCATTAAACTATTCTTTGAGATTGGTTGGGAAATGTAATAGTCTAATTTCTTGAACAGATCTTTAAAGAGAAAGTTTTAAACACAAAATCTATTTAATACAAAATTAACTTTTAGTTAGGATCTACTCCTGATTTACCAAATATACAACTGAAATATCACATTATTGTTTAGCTATTTTATGTACGTGTGTTCTTAGTGATTCATTTTAATATTGTTGGTGATTTTTACTAAAGGGGTACTCTTGTTCATTTAAAAATGTCGCCAAAAGTGTTACAACGTTTTGAAAGAATATTCACCTTCTTCCATTTATGCTCTTTTTTAAATTAATGTTAAAGTTATAGTTTGTATTCTTCATAACAGTACTTGCTGTTATTTATCTTCTTTCAGGGATAAAAGTGTCCAATTTAATCATTCAAACTTTTATTTTCTTAAATAAAAATTGGACCTTTGTTGCTTCAGTTGTAATGAAAATGTTACCTTCACAATGAGGGGTATTTTGACTCCATCCATCTGCTCTGCAAGTTTTGGTATCCCTTTGGCTTGCCATCTGATAGCTGAGTAATGAAAATTCAAATTAGAGGTTTAATTATTTTTGTTTGTTTCTATTATTGCTTGGACAGATGCAGAGGCACAAAATTTAAACTCGCTTTTTTTCCAGTCACAGCTTTTTCAGATCCTAATGAGAAGTGTATGTCTAGTAACTTTTATTTTTTACTTTGCATTGCATTACATAAATACAGTATAAATACTGAAGTCTGCTAAAATCATTCTTATGTGCAGGAATATTATAATAACCTATAATTACCTACTTTGCGCAAAATTGCCTAGAAAATGGGAATAATAATGCATTATACAAATGGTATATACCTTGGTAAATCTAATCACAACATTTGTCACATTTTCTGTTCATGTTTCAAAAAAGTGTGTGAAAAGGTCAAGCCCTAATCTCACCCACTTCTACCAACTATGTATAAATATCAGGTTTACTCACTTGTGCATTTCATTTTAACATCCCTCCTTCCATCCCATTTTCACCCTGGCTCATCCTCAATTAAAAGGAAGGGATCTGACAACTTTATCCTTCTGAATGGGTTTTAATTCACCTCGGCCAGGTCATTTATGCCAATAATGTTCATTCATTACAGTCACATATCTTTTCTGTCTTAATTATAGTGTATCTGAACCACCAAATAGAGTTTGAAATGCTGATATGTGTGCAAAACCTACCCTTCATTGCAGATATATTGAATTTCAGCTCCAAATACAAAGTCTGCACCATGTATTAACTGAAAACGCCCATTTAATACATCTCCAGGATGTCCACACTGCTTTGCTAAAAAGTGAAACACATTGGAGAAATTAATTTGATAAATTCTGCATAGGAAATATGATTTTGTATTTTCCGAATGAAAAAACTTCAGAGGAATCTGAACTGCAACACACAAAAATTAAAGTAAAAAAAAACATTTATTAAAAAGAAGGGCTTCTGTTGGATACATCCCATAACAATTTGTTTGTTAATCACAGAGACTTAGTGTCTGTCATCACATGGAGTTTCCTTTTCAGACTAATTTTGATCATATTCAAAATGTATTGGTATTTGTACAATAAATGCATTTTGCCTTTAATGGAACAACCAACTGGATGCTGTTTAGCCTTAGAAATGTACTATACATGCATAAATATCATATAGTTTTATATTAATTTTATAGTTTTATTTTTTCAAATTTCATTACGTACTTACGTTCACACCTTCCAGGACGATGTACTACCCAGTATTGTTTTTCACACTTGTAACTAATTCTTCCTCTTGAAACATATCCAGAGTGACAAGTGAAATATAATAAATCTCCATTTGTGTAGTTATCCTTCACATATTCTTTCGAAACATAAGCATTGGCAACGTTTGGGATGTATGAGCAGGCTGCAAGAATGCACAAGAATAGCGAAAACGTTCCAATTAGAAGCTCAAGGTAACATAAAAGTAACATAAATGTGTTACTGAAAAGTAACAGAATCCTATTTGGTTTCAAACACAGCACTTGGTACATATGTTTTCTGACTTTCTCAAATAAAATTAATATGCTAGTTATAGATGTAGAGATTTACTGCATAAGTGAAATATACAGTATGATATTTATTTGGAAGAATATATAGTTATTGTTGCATTATGAGAAAGATACCCTATGAAAAATAATTGTTGAAATTCTTTATAAAAAAAGTCATTATCAAAAAACAATAATAAGATTCTTGTGATTACAAAACCACACAATATTAATATCTATAAGAACTGTATCAATATTACTTTTATCTTTCTCTCTCATCTAGTACTAAACCTTTTTTAATGACTAAAGAGTAGAATAATAGAATTATTAGAATCACTTACCTGATGTTTTTGTTAAAACATCAACACAACCCCATATAAGAAAAAACAAAACAACGTGTGAAGAGACCATTTTAGTTACTGTGCAACTCTGTTGACCAGACTGAATAGCACACATTAAAACCCACAAAAACCCACACAAAGGAGAGAATGTGCTTGCTAGTTAGTTTCTGTAGTCACCACACATAACTTTTTTTCTTTTGTTTAAATAGCTCCTTGAATCAATATGTTATGTAAACACATTGATCATAGGGCAAAAAGAAAAAAAACTTAACTGTTACATGCCCAACAATGTGTTCTATCTGTCAGTGATCACAAACCTGTGATTATGTATTCATGTGTCCATAGTTGTTATAAAGGAACAAGTAATAGGTTTTGATGAAGGCTCCACAGCAGAAACTTTGTTTTCTTTCTTCTCTTTTCATCACAGAATAAACCTATTACTTTCCAGCATGCTGCATGCTGACGCAGATACCCACCTGAACTTGTTGTTAACTTGTTGTTATAAATACACTTTTCATGGTTTGAGTGATTTTAACAGCAAGAAAAAGTTGCTATGAATTATATGATATATGCATATATATTTAGCAGGAATGGTACCTTGATTCTTCCTCCTTAACTTTTTTGTATGACATTAAATGCAAAGGTAATAGTGATAACTTTGTGATATGGATTTATATACATATTGAAATGTGAGACATGAAAATGATCGGAAAGCAAGATTTTTTTATGCCCTTGGTGTTAAAGGCAAACTGCAATGCTGTTTTTATATTTCAGGGTTAGAAAGATAAGTGCAGAATCAGTATTGATGAGTGCATTTCAAACCACACTAAAAGTAAAATCTACAATGTAACTTGTCAAACCTCCAATTTACATCACAAAACAGACAAAATGTCCAGCTACGCACAGCACCATGTTCTGGGATTCAAAATGAGGCAACAAGACTTTCGATGATGTGAAGCATTCCTATTACACTGTACACAAGCAGGCTTGTAAATATATATATATTTATATTTTATATTTATATCTAAAATATAACATTTTTAAATATAGACTTCAAGACAGTTTTGCTGATAAATGGAACTTACTTGTTAACTCTACATGCAGATTACATTGGAAACTTTTTGTGGTGAAATATCTGCTGCACAACCTGGACTTACACTTATTTGTCAGTTTTTTCTATACTGTCAATGAATTTATGTTGTTACCGAGATTTAATAACTGGACTGTGAAACTGGGACTGCAATTCCCCTTTTAATACAAAAGTAAACAATCCAGTCCATTTCACATGATAGCTTAAATATAGTGTTCATCCATGAAAATAGTGTTCCAGGTTGTTTTTCCAAATAAAGATGTGCTTTTACAGAAGTTCCACACAGTGCCCATGCCATACTGTATATGTACTGTATGATAGGAGATTAAAGGAATTAGAACTATTGACACCTGTCCCTTTACCATATAGTTCAGGTGGGTAGCTGCGTCAGCATGCGTAGGCTGCAAAGGAACGAGTAATAGGTTTATTCCATGCTGAAAAAAAGAAGAAAGAGAACACAACGTTTCGGCCGTGGAGCCTTCTTCAGGTGTCAACACCTGGAGAAGGCTCCATGGCCAAAACGTTGTGTTCTCTTTCTTCTTTTTTTCAGCATGGAATAAACCTATTACTTGTTCCTTTACCATATGCCAGTAAATGGCACTCCCAGGAGTCCCCAAATATACTGCACTGCAAATAGACTTACAGTAAATCTCACAGAAGAGGATTGCCTATCTTATTAACACACATCTGTGCATCATGGTATGTACAGTACACTGTTTTGTACGCTGGCAGTCATAGTTTTACACTGTCTATAAATAAAATTAATAAAAACGTAAATGGATACATATCTGTAGAGCTGCTTCTCTAAAATATCTTTCTCAAGAAGCTTGAATTTTTACATTTTAAATACTTGACTAAACAATGCAGCAAATTAAACTTTGAGTTAATTATTCCCTAGAGGAGTCTTTTATGATAATAGCCTAGTTTAAACAAGCTATTTGGAAACAAAAAAAATCTTCAAAAACAACATTTAAGGTGAATGGTTTGACTTTGATCTGCAAACAACTTCAGCTTAGTTTTGTACTTAGAGTATAGGTCATGGTAAAAACATTTCACATTGCTTAATAATGACAGTGTGTTAATAATCAACATATTGTCTTGATTAAATTTAAATCAGTGTTTATTATTGATGTAGTGTGAGTAGGATCTTATTTCCCATTAATTGTTTTATATAGACCAGTGGTTCTCAAACTTTTTGGACCAAGTACCACCCCTAATCCAACCAAAGCATCCAAGTACCACCTACAAGTCATCATCTCATAGTAACCCCAGAAATTCTCAATGACCAACATGAGCACGCGTGCACACACACTCACACATACATATAATAAATATTATAATAATAAACTTTATTTGATATAGCGCCTTTAAAGGTGGCTTCTCAAAGTGTTTTACAGAAAAAAAAAAACAGTAACAACAACTAATAAAAAAGCACCATTTCAGTGAGAAGGGTGAGCCTGTTTAGTCGAGCAAAGCAGATGTGAATTAATTTTTCGAGTCTTGATACAATTCACAACAGAGTCTAACAGATTTTAAATCGTCAGGCATTTTCTTGATGGCAAAGGTCTCGCGGTGGATGTTGCAATGCGTTCATTAATTTCTGGAGCAACCTCTCTAATTCATGCAACTACTCCGTTATGTCGGCTTGTCATTACTCTAGCACCGTCTGTACAAACTCCGACACATTTTATCGAGTCGATGCCATTCTCTTCGATAAATGAATTGAGAAACTGAAATATGTGTTCTCCTGTAGTTCCTGTTGGTAGCGGTTTACAGAACAGAAAGTCCTCACGGGATGTACCCTCAAACTCGTATCTAACGAGCAAATTGGCCAAATCGACTACAGACTCATCTAATTGCAGTGAAAAACATCTGCTCATCTTAACGCACTCTATCAGTGTACTTTTGATATAATCCTTCATTTCAATAATTCTATGAATGACTGTGTCTTTCGGGGGGGGGCAGCAGGTCGAGCTGTTTAGCAGCTTTTTCTCCACACATAATACATGTCTTTTGCCAACGGTAAATAAGGTTCTTCAAAAATAGTGTGGCTTACCTGCTTTAGCAAGCCGCAAGTTTGCATTTTTCTGCGTTTCCGTTTTTATTTCCGTATTTATTTAAAGTTTTTACTTCATGCGCATGGGAGCGAAACACAGAGACACTCGGTGTATTTTTCTCAAATTAACAGTTCTTAAATATTTTTCTGTTATCTATCAAGGTTTCCTGTGCTCACAAGATTACCAGCGTTCATAGCACGTATTTTTATGCATTCCTGCGTTTACAACGTTGGCATTGTTCCAAAATCACGCACATTCTCCTTCCTCCCTATTTGCTGGAGATACAGTAGCTTTTTTAAATACAATTGGTCACTTGCGTCCGTAGCACGCATTCCTATAGAGTGGTATAGAATTTCAGAGTATCTCTTGTGTCCACTGAAGTATTAGCGCGCACTGTATCGTAGTACGTAGGCTGCGTATTCGACACATATTAAAATAAAAAATATGAAAACTCGTCCGGATTTTTCAGCGCACACGACACAGTTCCAGGGTCATTTGGCGTACCACCTTGCGGCACTCTGCATACCACTGCCGGTACGCGTACCACAGTTTGAGAACCACTGATATGTACCATATATAGTCATTTCACAATGCTCTCTAAACATAGAAAATATTGTGGCACCCTTGCCTGGCATTGCAGTTGAAGAGTGCCCGGCTAAAGTGCACGGCGAAGGGCAGGACGGGAATAGCAACCAAGTCAGGGACTAAGGGAGCCTCTGGCCAGTGCCACTGACCATCCGGAATGGGGGTACACTGTGTAAGGTGAAATAGTTATCCCTAGTTTGCACCCCTTTTATACCTGTACCCACTTACCACCCTATACCCATGTACCTTTACCCGAAATGACCCTTGTGTGTTGCATCCTGCTTTGTCTTGTCGTATTTCTTGTGTGGCTGTTGCTGTGCCAGACACATGTCTGACTAAGAAAGCACTGAGTCTTGTACTAAAAGAGCCTGAGTTCAGAACCTGCCACGCTACAATTGGTGTTAGAGTGGGAAGGATTGACAGAGACCTACAACACCTGTCTGACTCAGAGAAGCACTGGTTCCCTCAGCAGATAAGCGACACCCTTAAGTGCCTCCTGGGGGCAAGCAGCAGCCAGCTCCTCGGCGCCATCGGCGACCACAGCCTTTCTGAGGGCCAGTGGTGGCCTGCCTGGTGGAAGAGGGACTATCTCCCTGAGCTGAAGTGGCAGGAAAGGGAAGTTGGACCAGCAGGGACCAGCTGGCTATTCATGCACCAGTGGGCACCAGTGCGGCTGAGCCGCTACAACGGGGAGGTACCGTGGAAACTGTATGAGGGCCAGTTCCAAATGGCGGGAGATAGCGCTCCAGGCCCTGGCAGTGACAGAGTTGCAGCACCATGTGATGCTGACCGCGCTGATCTCCTTGGAGCAGGCTTTGGCTCTGACTGAGCAGGCCGATACTATGTTTGAGGAGACTGGCGGGCACAGCCAGAAGGGGGCTCCCTGCCAGGTGGCGGAGGCTGCAACAGAGGAATTGGGTGGGGAGAAGGAGAGGTCACCTGCTACCGCTGTGAAGAGAGGGGACACTTCGCACAGGAGTGCCAGGCACCAGAGTCCCGGGGCCGCCAGAAGCTGTTCAGAAATGGGAGCGTGACAGTCTAAAGGGTGGGAGGCTGCCCTTGAACAAAGCTACCCTTGCACCGGTGAGCCCAGAGGAGTTCTACACCCTGCCTGCCACCATGGGACGGATTGACCATGGCTGGGGTTTATTCCTCCCCTGCCTCATCGATGGCAGACACTGCCAAGCCCTGGTCGACACCGGCTCAATCATCACCCTGCTCCGGCCTGGTGTCCTGCTGGGAACCGAGACAGCCAGACTCCCAGGATAGGAGACCACCAGACTGTGCCCGAGGACGGTGACGGGACAGTGCGCAGAGGTCCTTGGCAAGGGGGCGCTGACCGTGAAGTTTGGGGCAGCGAGGGTGAAACACCCCTTTAATCTTGCCTAAAACCCTGAGGACTGCATTCTGGAGTTGTACTGGTTGCAGCAGGTGGGTGGCTGCCTAGA